TAGACGTTCTACGTCTGGATATTGTGTTTTAGTAGGAGGAAATTTGGTGTCCTGGAAAAGTAAAAAACAAAATGTAGTTGCTCGGTCTAGTGCAGAAGCAGAATACCGAGCAATGGCTATGGCAACATGTGAACTAGTCTGGACCAAACAATTGCTCAAGGAGTTGAAATTTGGTGAAATCAGTCGGATGGAACTTGTGTGCGATAATCAAGCTGCACTTCATATTGCATCAAATCCGGTGTTTCATGAGAGAACTAAACACATTGAGATTGATTGTCACTTCGTCAGAGAAAAGATACTCTCAGGAGATATTACTACGAAGTTTGTGAGATCGAATGATCAACTTGCAGATATTTTCACCAAGTCCCTCACTAGTCCTCGCATTGATTATATATGTAACAAGCTCGGTACATATGATTTATATGCTCCGGCTTGAGCGGGAGTGTTAGAGATAGCTATGTAATTGTCCCACACCGGAATAGGAGTAGTATCCCCTTTGTATAGAGTAGCTATAAATAACACCTCTTGTATTGCATCACATACAATATATCAACATATATCATATTTTCTCCCGTGCCTTCTCACAGGACGCATGAAGCAGAAGTGGACGTGAAGCTTGATACCTAAGTCATCCCCAAGAGAGATATTTTCAAATATCTTGGGTCTATATTACAGAGTAACGGGGAGGTTGACGAGGATGTCACACACTGTATAAGAGCGGGATGGTTGAAATGGAGGCTTGCTTCTAGTGTTTTGTGTGATAGGAATGTGCCACCTAGACTTAAGGGCAAGTTCTACAAAGTGGTAGTTAGACCGGCCATGTTGTATGGAGCCGAGTGTTGGCCAGTCAAGAAATCTCATGCCCAGAAGATGAAAGTAGCATAAATGAGGATGTTGCGATGGATGTGTGGGCGTACCACAAAAGATAAGATTAGGAATGAATATATTAGGGACAAAGTGGGTGTGGCTCCCGTGGGAATTAAGGCTGAGATGGTTTGGTCATGTGAAGAGAAGGGACGCTGATGCCCCGGTTAGGAGGTGCGAGAGGTTGCCCGTGGCGAGTCAGAGGAGGGGTAGAGGGAGGCCTAAGAAGAACTGAGGTGAGGTGATTAGGCAGGACATAGTTCTGCTCCAGCTTGTCGAGGATTTGACCCTCGATAGGAAGGTGTGGAGATCGAAAATTAGGGTGGTGGGTTGATAGACAGTCTAGAGTTTTGCCTTGTCTTACCAGTAGTAGTAGTACTAGTTGGGTACCTTCCTATTCCTAGTCCCTTGTTTCTATACGGTATGTCAGTATTAGCAGTAGGATTGGTACTATTCTTGTAGTTTCATATCCCTAGATCTCTATCATTATTCGTTGTATTATTTGCTTACACTCTCTTATTTCACTGTTGTTGCTATTTTTTCTCTATTGCTCCATTTTTTACGTTCTTGAATGGAGGGTCTTTCGGAAACAACCTCTCTACCTTCATAGGTAGGGGTAAGGTCTGCGTACACACTACCTTCCCCATACCCCACTTGTGAAATTTCACTGGGTTGTTGTTGTTGTTGCTGTATATATATACACACACATGTTTATATACATGTTTACAGTGCTTTTATCAAGGGATTTTGTTTGATCTTTCTTCATTAGATGTTACTTGGATGTTGTTGAAGCCTGAATTGAATTGTAAAATATGTTAGTTCCAAATTTCGGGCTCCAATGTGGAGAAAAACCTAGTTTGTGTAAATGACGTGCTGCTGATATATAGAGCCCGTTTGGATTGGCTTGTTTTAAGTGCTTTTAAGCTAAAATAGCTTTTAAGTCATTGTAGTGTTTGGATAAAGTAAAAAAGTGCTTTTAAGCACTTGGTTTTAAGCTAAAATGACAAAAACAAGTCAAAAGCAAGAAGTTAGAATTCCTAACTTATGGCTTAAAAGCTATTTTGGCTTAAAAGTCACTTAAAACAAGCCCATCCAAACGGGCTCATAGAGTGCTAAAAGAAAAGAAAGACGGTAGACAAGTTGTTTGGGGTCTTTTGTTTCAATGATAGGATAAGAGCCTATTATAGTCAAATAATTGAAATATAAGAATGTATTATGGATGCATGAAATGTGGTGGGACAAATAGGGATTTTGATAAAAGGTTTCCATACAGTGTTTTGTTCATGTGATTAAGGGCGAAATAGATGTGACATTGAGTTTTTGATGAGAAGCAATGCAGCAAATACTCTAGAATTTTGATTCTAAGGGCCTTTCTTTTTGTTTGGCTTATCAAAATCGTTTCTGAATATTAAAATTGATCTTTAGAGAATTTGGTTAAGATAATTAGTTTTGTTACTTTTAACGAAACTAAAAGTTGTAAATGACAGAAAGTATTCTGGATTTTGTTAGCTCCCTATACAGCTTATTGTGAAAATACTTTTGTATATTTGTAAACTGCACTTTCTTGGTGCAAATTTTGAATAAGATGAACCTGACTTTAAGAAAAACAAAGTAGCTTGATTGAAGTAATTTTTTGTTATTAGCTCTAAAAATTGATTTTTGGTATGATGTTTGTATATTTGTAGACTAGCTCAGATCTTTCTTTTTGCTGCTAAAGGTTTTACGATTCAGGATATTCTTGGTCCAAGGATAATTTCCTTGAAGGATTGTATGTGGTCAACTTATATGTTTCTGCATGAATCATTGCTAGATAACAGCTTACAAGTAATTGTTACTTCTTGCAATAATTTCGTATAAGTCAAGTTTATGCATAATAATTGTTATACTTTGCTGCAGAAAGCATATTTTAGATTTAGGACGAGGAGAATAAAGCTAAAGAAGAAGGCAGGTGTTGATCCAATCAGTACTGCTTTTGATCAGATGAAGGTTTGCACTTTTGTTCTTTAACCAAGACAATGCCTTGGTATACTTACTTTCGGTGATCAATTCTCCTTTTCTCTGTTTCCCAGAGGGTGAAGAATCCCCCTATACGTTTGAATGACTTTGCAAGCATTGATTCTATGAGAGAAGAAATTAATGAAGTCGTAGCATTTTTGCAAAACCCTCGTGCTTTTCAAGAAATGGGAGCTCGCGCCCCTCGGGTATGTTACTGCAACTCTGTTTGATTGAAGCAGAATTTCTTAGTTTAAGATAGGTGTGAATATGTTTTTCTTTAAGAGGTTTGATTCCTTACTGGTGCATTTTTGTTTAGATCAATGTGACTGATTAAAAAGGCACTTCCACTATGTGCCTACTACTTGACAGTTATACATGCATATACTAATAATTTAAGGGCCTTCGCTTTCCTATGAAGAATTCAGTCATATGGTTGTTTAAATATCTTATGCACCAATAAACGATAAACCTGTGTGAAAGAATGATGTTGATGGAGGAACTATTTTCTGGTGTTTAAAATGAACTAGTCTTATGATACGCGCGTTGTAACATAGGTAAAGGAGTAAAAAGTTTTTAGAATTTATATAAAAATATTATGTTTGAGTTATAAAATAAAAATATAAATTCATGTGGAATAAGGAATATTGGTTCGATATAGTCAACTCAATAAGGAATGAAACTGCCATAGTCCTCAATCATCAAAAGATAATTAAAAAATGAACAGACAAAATACAAATACTGGGGAAGGTTTAAAGAAAATCAAAAGATCATTTATAAAAAGGATATTTGTCCAAAGTGTTTGGTTGGGGTGGGCAATTAATTCTATATTTTGTGTTTTTTAAATCTTCACGGCAGAGAAAGCTGTCTAATAACACAAAATATTAAATTCCCAATATCTTAATTACCAACTGAAATATGTTATTGTGCTAAAAGTCACAAATAAATGATAGAATACAATTACTTGTATATACAATTACCATTTATTTATACTAATTTCAGTATATAATGTGAGTATTTATTATTACTTTAAATATAAGTATTACTATTATTTTCAAAACATTGGCATGTCATAGTAATCTTGTTTACAGATATTTTCTTACTCGTCCTAATATGTGTATTAGTTTGGTTTTACATTGTATAGTAATCTTCAATTTTGAAAGTATAAAATTAGATCTAAATTTTCATTAGTAATTTTGTAATGTATGTTTATGTACACTTTTTTTTTTGATAAGGTAAATTGTATTAATCAAAAGGGATAGAACTCCCATATACAGGAAGTATACCAAAAAGTAGAGAATTTACCTCAGAACATGATTCTCTACAAAAGACGCCCAATCTTCTATACAAGTAGGGGCTATATGAGTGCACCAAAAAGCGATTAAAGATAAAAAACTATTCTTAAGATGTGAAAAAATAGATTTAATCCCCTCAAAAGCTTTCCTATTTTTCTCCCCCCAAACTATCCACATAAGAGCTAACGGGGCGAACTTCCACGCCTTTTGCTTTCTTCTTCTACGGAAACCTACCCAACTATATAACATTTCTTTTACGGTGCTTGGCATCACCCATTGAACACCAAAAAGGTTCAGAATCGCCCTCCACAAAGCTGAGGACACAGGGCAATGCAACAAAAGATGATCAACTTCTTCCCCTGAGCTTTTACACATATAGCACCATCTAACAAGTGTAATTCCTCTCTTTCGCAGATTCTCAGCAGTCAAAATTACTCCTCTCGCTGCTAGCCATGCAAAAAAGCACATCTTCGTAGGCGCCTTAGGAATCCAGATCGAGGAGTGTGGAAAAGAGGCCTCCTCTCTCACCAACATACTCTGGTAAAAGGACTTTACGGTGAACAAACCATCGCCACGCAAACCCCATCTCCAAGAATCACAAGATGGCTGGGGCATGTCTTGCCCATATAGCAGTGTCAATAAATCTTGGAGCTCCGCAATCTCCCAATCTTGCATGTTCTTTCTAAATGAGAGGTCCCATACTACCCCCCCTTCATGCTCCTTACGAATCTGTTGGACCATCAATTCCTTCTGGTTTGGAACCCTGAAGACGTGGGGGAAGGAGACCCTCAGAGTTTCCTCTCCACACCACCTATGATTCCAAAAGCTGATTCTCCTTCCATCTCCCATCCTGTAAGTGATGTTACCACTGAAGGATTCATGATACTCCTCCACATGCCACACCCGAAAGGTGTTGTGATTGCCTTGGTCCTCCAACCCCCTCCCGTGGAATCGTACTTTTCTACTATGACCTCCCTCCATAGAGCATGTTCTTCTACCCCGAATCTCCACAGCCATTTCCCCAACAAAGCTCCGTTGAATACCCTAAGATCTTTTACTCTAAGTCCACCCCACTTCTTTGGGGAAGTGACTGTCTGCCAATTCACTAGATGATACTTTCTAGTTCCATCTGCCGCATCCCAAAGAAAATTCCTTTGAAGCCGCTCCAGTTTTTCCGTGATGCTCACAGGAGCTTGCAACAGGGACAGGTAATAGGTGCGCATACTCGATAAAGTGCTTTTGATAAGCACTTCCTTTCCGCCTTTTGACAACTACCGTTTCTGCCAGCTTGCTAATCTTTTTTCAACCCTTTCGATCACTGGATTCCAAACCATAGTATCCTTATGCGAAGCGCTCAATGGGAGACCCAGGTAAGTAGTGGGAAAGGAGCCCACCTTACATCTAAGAACATAAGGCAAAACATCAATGTTAGCAACCTCACCCACCGCGAAAATTTCACACTTGCCGAGGTTGATTTTGAGACCTGATACTATCTGAAACCACTGCAGGACCTGCTTCAGGTAGGTCAACTTATCCATATCGGTAACACAGAAAACCAGGGTGTCATCCGCAAAAAGCAAATTAGAGACTCTTCGGGCACTGGGCACTAGGCACCCCGATCGGAGCTGAGAATCCTCTCAAGAAGCCTCCGGCCGCCGCACGATCCATCATTTTACTCAGAGCATCCATCACTAGAATAAATAGCATGGGGGATAGGGGGTCTCCTTGCCTGAGACCCCTGGAGCTGCCAAAGAAACCACACGGACTACCATTAACCAGGACAGTGAATCTGACTAAGGAAATACAGAACTTGATCCATCCCCTCCATCTTGCCCCAAACCCTATCCGCATTATAATGAAATCCAGGAACTCCCAATTGACATGGTCGAAAGCCTTCTCAAGGTCCAACTTGCATAGTAAGTCGGGATCTCTATTTTTCCTTCTAGTGTCTACAAGTTCATTTGCCACCAAAGCGGCATCCAGGATCTGCCTACCTTCCACAAACGCATTCTGGGAGGACGAAACGGACACGTCAAGAACCTTCTTGAGTCTGTTGGAAAGCACTTTAGAAATAATCTTTTAAAAACCCTCAGGGGTTGGCCTGGTGGCAATTGACTTGAGCCTTGGGGTTTGCTCCCCTTTCAGGTCTCAAGTTCGAAACCCACTGGGTGCAAACAATTTCTGCGGGCCATCGGACTGGGTAAAACTTGAATTAACCGTGGTGCACTTGCGGGAAACTCCTTGCCGAGGGCCTGTGCACCCCCGGGATTAGTCGGGTCTCTTAGAGACTCGGACACCCGGTGCAAATCAAAAAAAAAA